CCGGCGACAAGCGCAGGGGACGGCGACTAGGCGGGGAGCGCCGGTGCTCCTGGCAGAGGTGGCCCGCGTCTGCGATGTGCTCGCGGGCCCTGCCTGGTGCTGTGACCTTGGGCAAGTGGTTTAGCCTCTGCGAACGTCCAGCATTCTGGCTTCATGAGTAACGGAACCCTTCGTGTGTGTGTGCGTGTGCGTGCGTGTGTGTGTGTGTGTGTGTGTGTGTGGCGCCCGTCCTGGGACACTGTTGTGTGTGTGTGTGTGTGCGCGCGCGCGTGCGTGTCCTGGGACACTGTTTTTTATCCCACAGAACACCACGGCCCCCAAAAGCTCATAGCAACACCTGGGCCAGCGCCTGGATGTCAGAGCTGCTCGTTAAGTCACAGGATGCGTTGAAAGTCTTAGATTTGCATCCTAATTACTACATAGTAGCTTGTAACCTTGGAATTACCACTTAACTTGCTTTTCAGCTTCTTCAAATGAGCATGTGTGAGGCACTTAGCAGGGGAGCTTGCATGTTGGGAAGAAGGCGTGCGCGCATGAACGAGACGCAGTTTCCAGGGAAGACGGATAATATTCTGAGATTCCAGTACATATTCAGAGTGGGATGGGATGATGAGGACGCTGCTTCTGATCAGGCAGAGCTGGGCTGGGAGGAGGAAGAGGTAGAATGCTTTTGAGAATCGTGAAGCGCCCTGTTATCTTAATTATTGTCACTAAAACAACATCTGGTTTTGTGCCAGCTGAATCCGTTTTCTAAGTGTTTTGGCTGGCTTAGACCCTCTGTTAACTCTCTTACCTGACGGTGACCACTCCTGGCACTTAACCCCGTAAGATCAAGAAGGTCAAGGTCATGCCCCAAATCTCAGTACCTTAAAACAGGAAAGGTTGATTCATCTCTTGAGCTGCTTGTCCATCTAGGGTCACTGGGGGCTTTGCTCCCTATCCCTTTCATTCATGGACACAGTCATAGAGCCATCCGCTGAATATTATTGCTGGCATGGAGGCCAAGAGAGAACGTGGTGAATCTGACACCAGCTTTTAAAGGTTTCTCCCTAGAAATGATAAATGCCACTTCCACTCACATTCGATTAACCAAAGCAAGTCACAGGACCGTGTGGAGAAGTGCAATCCCACTACGTGCTCACAAGGAGAGGGATATATTGGTAAATAGCTTTAATGACCTCCTTGTCCCCAGCCCATGACTTCTGGTGAAAATCCATAGAAAGAAAAAGGCATTTAGAGGATGTTCGCTCCCATGGGCAGTGAGAATTAGTGTCCAATATGCTTCCAGGCCTTTGCCGTCCCTGCTCCTTCACAAGAAAAAGAAAGCCAGGCCTCCTTAATTTATCCCTTTGCATTATAATAGACATGGTATAAGCCTTTCCCTTTTTCCCAAATAATATTAACTGCTTGGATATGTATTAAATGAAAGGAGCTTTAACCAGCTGTCTATTGGGCGCTGTGAGTGAAGCAGAAGTTAACACGCCATAGTCAGTTATCAAAGAAGTTTCATGTATTTGGTAAGAAAAGATGGGAATGTATGACCAGAGGAGAAATGATTCTAAAACCAAGTTTACAGAAGTCCTCACAGACCAGGACCTGCCCGTCGCCTACTGCTGCCGTCGCCCCCTCAGAGGCCACTGCTCAAGCCGTCTTCCTCAAAGGCTGAAACCAGATCTAAAATCCAGGCGTGAAAGGACGCGTGGCCACTCACTGGCACACTCTCCCTGACAGGGTTTTCAGAAATGCGGGTCAGCAAGGTGCATCCTCCAAGGCAAGGTCTTCCGGAGGATTGTGACACTCTGTGTTCTCAGTTCAGTGACCTAGACGTGTAAGCATATTCGGAATTCTCCTAGGAACAAGTACTAACACACGATTTCAGTGCCTGTGTTTGTATTTCTGATCGTGATCACACTGGCTCCAAGTAGTAATCCTTTCATAACGTCAGCAAAGAGAAAGGAAGGGGACTAAATATATAAGTGAGATGTTGTTCAAAATAAGTTTTCCTCGCGTTCCAGTAAAAAGAACGAACGAATCGAGTCATTGTCGTCTGACGCACGAATAGGCACAACTGAAAAGAACCAGGCTGTGCTGGGCGATGCCACAGGCGAAGTCACAGTGGCAGAGAGCAGCTGCTAGACTGTGTCGGTGCCAAGAAGAGGCTTTTTTGCTTCTGATGAAATCAGCAAAGCAAGATGTGATGAAAAGACCTGTTACACTAATTAACTGCTTTAGTAGGTAATTGTCAGCACTGTCCTGATAAGAGTCTTATGATACATTTCCAAACAGATTGTTAAAAGGAAATGTAATCCGCTCATGTGACCTTGGTCACTAATATGCCAAAACAGACCTGAATAGGTCTTATGAGAAATTCATAACCTGACATCAACCCTTGTATTTCTTGACCTCTGTTACCTTGGACGCTGTTGAACAGATTCCTCCTTCTTGAAATGTCCCCTCTGTTGGCTGCCATGACACGAGAGACCCTGCTCAGTGTCCTTGCAGGGCATCCTTCTCACACGGCCCTGGTCCTCAGGTTTCAGCTCAGCTCCCTTCTCCCTCCCCACCCCCGCTCGATCACATGACACGCATGACTCAGCAAATAGGCCGATCATCCCCAAATCTCAAGCTCCCGGCTTCTCTTGAGCTCGACACCCAGAGCTTCCGCCTGAGTGTTTCAGAAAGCCACAGCATACTTTTAAATGTCCGAAGCAGGTGTCATCTTCCTTATAAACCCCATTCTCTCCAGGAATCCATTTCTGTCAATGCCATCGCCTGTCCGGTCAGCAAAGCCAGAGACCTGGGAACCACACCTGGCCTTTGGGTCACCAAATGCTGTAGCTTTTATGTCATAAAGATAACTCGTGTTACCTATGCCTCTTTAGGTCTGTGGCCATAAGGCAGGTGGGCCCCTATATTCAGGGCAGTTGGGCTAAGGCCGGGGTGCTGTCACGCCATCAGCCCGTTGGGAAATGGAATGAGAGGCTGCTGGAGAGGAGGCGGCAGCTATGCAAAGGGCCCAGAAAGACCCCAGTGCCCTGGCCACTGTCCATCTCTGCACCCCAGAACTCTCTCCCGCCATTGGGGTCACCGCACTTCTCCCTTAGGTGCTAACTCAAATGTCACCTTAGAGAGATGTCCTCTGAGCACCCCTCCCAAACTAGGAGAGTGAGGTCTCTCCTGCTGCTCCCCCACTCGACAGCCGGTTTGATTTCCATTAACACCACCTCACGTTGTTCGTTACGATTTTATTTCTGTGTATGTTTACCATTTTTTGGTCATCTGTTCCCTGCGCTGGAATTGTAAGTTCCGTGCACACAGGACCATCGCTGACTCATTCGAGACTCATCTACGGCAGTGGCCAGAACACAGTGAATCTTGGTCAAAGGAAGGATGTGGGGTGCTTTTGTTTGGTGCTCCCAAATTATGGACTTGTACACTAAATCTGCCCCTGGGAACCACAGAAAATAGTTATCTGACATATTTGTTTTTCTAAGACAAATGAGTTTATGGTTATATGCTTTCTTCATCCTGCTGAGTCATTTGAAACAAATATGTACCAGAATATCCAGCAAACTATGGTGACAAACAATATTCAAATATGATACGTAATAATGCAGAAATGACAAGTTTTTCTTCAGAAAGTAGGTCTATAATGTGTAAGTCCCAAACTAATTGTAATTCTATCTGAAATTTTATTCCGTCCCAGATAAAGAGGGGAAAAATAATGTTCAGTCTCACCAGTAATCAGGTACACTAAGGATAACAAGTAAGGTATATCTGCCACATCCAAAATGGGCAAAGATTTTGTTTTTAGGATTAAAACTTATTTGGTCAGCCTGAGGTGAAACGAACAAAGTGTCATACACTGTTAATAGAGAGTCAACTGGTAAAACTTTTTTCAGAGTAATAATTTAACAACATGCCCTGAAGTCATTAACGCTTCGGATACACATTGTCTACCCAGAAAGTCCTACTGATGAAATAAGAATGAATCAATACAGAAATTTAGCTACTTGGGTTTTTATAAAGCTGTCTATATATTGAAAAGACCTAAATATATACCGCTATGTAACTGTGTAATTATAGGTATAAAATAATAGCGGAATAGCGCATATAGATGATGGTGTGTTTTGAAAGGCCATCATGCTATATTTTCACAAAATCCGTAATTACCCGGAAATTTTTTCATGCTATGACATTAAGTAAAAAAAGGGAATCAAAAGTATATAGTATATCCTAATTTTGTTAAAAAAATGAGTATACATGTGAATGTACAGAAAAAAGCCATAAAGCAGTATATCTGAGTGGTGGGATTCCTAACAGTTTTTATTTGTGTATTAAAGACCATAGTAGCATTTTCTGTTTTCTCTACATTTTCAACGATGAACATGTATTTATTTACAATCAGAAAAAAAAATTGATTTAGAAAGGAATGAGAGAGGGAAATGATAGAACAATTATGTGCAAATAAATCATTTGTAGTTGTTACAAAGCGTTAGGGGGAAAAAACCCTTAGAATTCTCAAGGGTGGACTTTTTTCTCCAAGTGGCTGTCTATAAGCTAAAGTTGAATCAGCAGCCTCGCAGCAAACCGACGTCCTTGAACTGTCACAGGTGGCCCAAGATAAGGCAGGATGGAAGGCACTGCTC